TATGCTGAGCTCAATTGTGTTTCTCTCTCCTTGATACCAAACCAGTCAGCTGGGAAGCGGAGAATCCAGTCTCTGAAACAGTTCTTCTATGTGGTTGGGGTTAGTGTCCAGTGGCTTTAGCCTCCTCTCAGGGGTGTGAGACTCCTTGCTTATTTACCTGTCAGTCCTTTCCCTCTTTCCATCTCCCCCTTTTAAAATCAGAGCATTGGCAGTTCTTCAGGGCATGTTAATCGGTCTAGCAGGTCTGGCACCTGAGCCAGTCACCCAGAAGCGACTCTCCCAGTTTCCAAAGTTTCTTGTTAATGAAGACTGTGTTCAGGCACTGAGGTTGGCAGACACAGGAGCAGCCAATTTTACTGGCAGTTCCCTTCCCTTCCCGTCCCCCGCTCCCTCCCTCCCCCACCCCCTACAGCACCCTACCCTCTTAATTTTATCAGAGACGTTTGGCTGGACTTAAAGGAGCTGCAAAGGAATTAGTGAGGCCTGAGCTCCTGGCAGCCAAGGACAAGGTATAGAAGGACTAGGACCCAAGCCTGGGGCAGATTCCAGTTCACCTGAGTTCTCCATTGGCTCAGTAGAGGGCTCTGGGGCGTAATGATAATAACATCATCAATAATAGCCAGAGTTTCTACATATATGCTACAAGTGATGGCTTTGTTGTAGTATTAAACTTACATCATCTCCTTCTAACAGTTTTAAGGTCTTCTTAGGAATATTATTCATGTTTTACATTTGGCTATACTGAGGCACAGAGAGGGCAAGAAACTTCCCCTGAGTTCTACAGCAAGTATAAGGAAGCTCCTGGAAGGTGCCGTAGGAGTGTCTGATTCTCAGACTGAAGGTTTTAGCTCTCTCTTCATGATCTCACAGTCCAGGCAGAGGAAATGGGCATATAAACCAATAAATAATCACCACACAGTTTGGGAGTGCGCTGATGGAAGTATTTATTTGTATAGTGGGAAATAGAAGCTAGGTAATGAAGAAGCCATGTTTGAAGTCATACTTGAGTGACAGGTAGAAGTTTCCCTGGAAGGTCAGACAGGTAGAAGGAAGAGCAGAGAAGAAAAAGGAGGTGGGCACTAGCAATGTGTGCTTGTGTGTCAAATTGTGAGAAAGGGCCAACAGTTCTGTACTGTACTGAGTGAGAAGTCTTAGAGCAGTTGTTGTTTTTAGGTGCCATCCAGTCGGTACCGACTCATAGCGACCCTATGCACAACAGAACGAAACATTGCCTGGTCCTGGGCCAACCTCACAGTTGTTGCCACGCTTGAGCCCATTGATGCTGTCATTTTGCCAATCCATCTCACTGGGGGTCTTCCTCTTTTTCTCTGACCCTCCACCTTACCAAACATGGTATCCTAAGGTCTCCAGGGATTGGTCCCTCCTGACAACATGTCTGAAGTATGAGAGACGAAGTCTGGCCACCCTGGTTTCCAAGGAGCACTCTGGCTGCACTTCTTCCAACACAGATCTGTTGGTTCTTAGAGGAGGAGTAAAAACTAATGGGAGGGAGTAAGGTAGACAAGGGTCCTTCATAAAGGTCTTATGTACCCATAATCTTTGTTGTTGGGAACCATTGATTGCTGACTCATAGCAACCCTGTGTGAAAGAATAAAACTGCCCAGTAAGTTTTCCTGGTTGCAATCTTTATGGGAGCAAGTCCCTAGGTCTTTTCTCTTACAAGGCAGCTGGGTGGGTTCAAACTCAATCTTTTGGTTCACAGCCTAGCACGTAACCACTGTTCCACCAGAGCTCCTTCAGGGCTGATGGAGTTAACAAAAAGAACTATTTGTTCTTTCTTTGCTCAGAAGACATCTTCTGTGAAAAGTCTAAAGTATAAAATAAATAAAGTGGAGTAATGGAGAACTCAGAACCTGGCCTCTGTGGACTCCTCTCTCCCAACCTGGGCATCTGCCCATAACCCCAGGGACTTTCGGAGAACAAACTGTGAGCCTCCTTGCTAGAGAGCATTGGAGTTGGAGAGAGAGAAGCATTTCATGGTTGCAGATGTTTTGTGGGGGTTGGGGGTTGATAACGGGCTAAGGCTGGAAGTCGGGAACAAGCTCAGGGTGGTTGCAGTGGTGCTGTGGGGTCCTGGCTCTTCCTGCACATTGGAAGTCAGAGAGCTGAGTTAGCCAGCTCCTTCAGAAGCTGTTACGGTCTCATGGTTCACCTCCTGGAGTCCAACTGCCTGTCTTGAATCCTGCTCGAACTGATTATAACAGGAACTGCAAGTTTCTAACCTCTTTATGCCTCAGTTTCCTTCCTCATTTGCTAGATGACAAAATTGTGAATAATTCTCTTGCTGTTAAGTGAATGAATACATGTGAAGTACTTACAGTCTTATGTGAGAGGGTAGAGCAAGAAAGTGGACATTTCCATTTATTCTCCCGGCAGCTAGTCCACTGGACAATGGATAAAAGCACACATAGACTGAGATCTCAAACTACAGATAGAGCTGATGTGCTGGAGAGTTGGAAGACGAAGCATCTAGAACTTCGAATCAGCAGTGAAAAAAATCAAAGGATATGAGAATGTCCTAGGCCCACACTGCTGCTGGGTTGAGTCTGACTCATAGTGTCACTGTGGGGCCAGAGGGGAGCTGCCCTGTGGCATTTTCAGACCTTTCACTTAGTGGCCACTGGACTACCAGGATATAGGACGAGAAATTTTGCTGCAGGAATCGGAAGACAAAGATTAAGTCAAAAACCAAAAAACAGGTTAGCTCATGTTGAACAAACAATAGTAAAACACACAAAATCAAAAGAGAAGATTCAGTCAATAGCAAATCATGAAGAAGAGATATTTTTCCTGTGGGAGCCGAACTAATGCAAAGAGTAGACCATTTTCAAACTTTGGTGCTAAATATGCTTTAAAAAGTAAAAAGCAGCCAGAAAGCAAACTAGTGGCGATCAGGAAGCAAATGGAGGAGCAGAATGAGAGACACAAGGAAACTGAAAACATTTCTTAAAAAAAAAAAAGAAAGAAAAGAAAAAGAACTACGGAAACTGAAGAATAAAGCAGCTGAGTTAGAAAAGCAAGAGAAATACTTGACAGTAGAATGGAACGAGCAGAAGATAGAATAAATGAACTGGAAGACAAACTAACTGAATTTACGAAACCGCAAGAGAAACAAGGAAAGTACAAAGAAAAGCAAACAAACCTCAGTGGAAATATTGGATTAAGTTAAGAAATGTAAAATTTAATACGGAATCCCAGGCCACCATGACAACAATAAAGGCAAAGAAGCCATTTCCCAAGAGATAACCAGAGACAGTTTACCAGACCTGAACAGAGAACCAAGTCTGCAAATACAGGAAGCTACATGAACTCCGAGGAGCTCTGGTGTAGCATAGTGGTTATGAGTTGGGCTTGTAACCTCATGGTCAGCAGTTAGAAGACACTAGCTGTTCTGCGGAGAAAGATGAGGCGGTCTGCTTCTGTAAAGATTTACAGCCTTGGAAACCCTGTGCAGGGTCACTATGAGTCGGAACCAACTCAACGGCACGTAACCACCACCACCACCACATGACCTCTAATCAGAAGATCTCAAAAAGATCAACTCTGCACTCTATCCTAATAAAATTCTTGAAAACCAAAGACAAAGAGAATTCTGAAAGCAGCAAGAAAAAAAATGAAATATAACATACCAAGTATCTTTCATTCGAATCAATGCACATTTCTTCCCTAGAAGCGGTAGGGGTCAGAAGATCTAGCAAAGTTGTCATTCCAAAGTGAAGGGAAAATCAAGGCATGCCCAAACAAACAGAAGTTCTGGGAATTTGCTACCAGCAGATCAGTTTTGCAAGTATTACTCCCCAGAGTCCTCCAAATGGGCAGGTAAGAGCTTTAAATGCTCAAATCTATAAAAGGAAAAAGAGCTCTCTAAAAAATACATCATGGCAAGCATAAGGACCAAGTATATGGTACTTGCAGGGCATCTCAACTTAGTAACAAAACCATGCAAATTATACAGCACCAAGTTTCTAAGAAATAAACACTTAGTTAATTTACTCAATATAGGTTATATATTGATATTACTAGGAGTCTTGGGGTGGTGCTGTAGGATAAGCATTGGATTACAAGGTTGGTTTGAACCTCAAGGTCAGCAGTTCAGACTTACTAGCTGTTCCTCGGAAACCCTATACAGAGTCACTATGGGACGAAACCAACTCGACGACATTTAACAACAACAAATAGTGCTCCTACTATATACCAAGTACTGTTATGGATGCTGGGATACAACAGTGAAAGAAATAGATCAATCAGCTGTCCTCATTTGCATTCTATTGGGGGAGACAAAATTCAATACATAGGTTCTATATGCAATAGGATTAAAAAGCATCCATGGAATCACATAGGACCTTGTGGAATGCATTAGAAACATTGGATTTTATTTTGAGTGAGAAGGAAAGTTTCAAAGGTTTTGAGCAAAGAAGTAGAAAGATCTGCCAACCATTATGGGGTCTGAGTAGTTTTGTCCACATAAAATGGTTCATAAATGGTGATTGAATGTGTGTGTATTTTTCTAAGACTTTGCAATTCCAAGTGTGGCCCACAGACTAGAAGTATCTAGATCTGTTGGAGTGTGGTGGTGTTGTTATTAGTCAGTTCTGACTCATGATGACCCCATGTGTGCAGGTGGAATTGCTCCTTAGGGTTTTAAAGGTTGTGACCTTTCAGAAGCAGAGGTTTCTACAAAGATGCTTCTTGGTGGGTTTGAACCGCCAACTTCCCAGGTAGTCATGGAGCGCTTAACTGTTTGGGTCACTCATGGTAGCTGTGTTTGTCAGTATGTTTTTATCCTGTTCTGGTGAGAGGTGGGTCTCCTGGCAAGAGAGCGTTCTAAATACCTCGTGATGTGGAACAGCCTGGATGTGTCCTGAGAGTGGCTGGTTTGCTCTGCCCAGTGACAGCTCCACTGTCTCTCTCATTCCCTGGAGTCATAAGTGAGCTCTTTGGATAAATTGGGTGTTTGTTTATTGTTGTTTCCCCCACAGTGTTTGAAAACAAAGATAAGATTGTGATCATCATGGAGTATGCAAGCAAGGGGGAGCTGTATGATTACATCAGTGAGCGGAGACGCCTCAGTGAGAGGGAGACCAGACACTTCTTCCGACAGATCGTCTCTGCTGTGCACTTTTGTCACAAGGTATGGCCCAGCCCAGCCAGCAGCTCGGGCTTCCAGGGGTTTTGATGACACCACATGCTTTTTTCCCATAATACAAAAGTGCAATCTATCATTGTAGCCAATATGGAGAGTTTATAAAATGGAACGTAAAAAATCATGATAGAACCATAGCATAGCTACCCGTGTTCTCTGGGGAAAAATATGTAAAGGTATTTCCAAACTATTTTTCAGCCATTGTATTCATCATTTCAGGCTCAAGTTTTCATGTCATTCAGACTTTTCCCCAGAATTGTCACAGTTGGTTGGAACAGTCATTCAGTTTGCAATCAATACCGTAGGGTTAAGAGATGTCTTAAAAACAACCTAATGTCAAATCAGAGTCAGCTTCTGTTTTCAGATGTTCACAGCACGGGCCTTCCTGGTTAAGGTAAATACTCTGGTTAACTCAGTCCTGAAATGATGACCAGTAATCAGAAGGTGGTGCATTATTGATATTCTCACGCATGTGAATATCATCTGACCTCTCTCTGATAAGCCCAGAGACACTGAAATTCTGATCATGCAATATTTATTTTATCCTTCTGTCTCATTGCTAAGCATACGGGACTGTATTCCCATGATTTGAGGTCTGGGAACACTTGGAGTCTGTATGAAAGGGTTATTAGAGACTTATTCTAGCTCCCAAGAAATACACACTGTCAGTCAAACTGCATGAAACAAAAGTAGGTCCCTTTTCTTCCAGATCTTTCCACCTGGAGGCTTGGTTTGTGCATTTCTGAATTCAAAATACATTCTTGAAGGGCTTGGTTTAGGAAAAGGGGAGTAGAAATACATGTTTTTGTTTCCTCCTCTTCCATCAGTGCTTTGGGAGACATTAGGAACTGTCAAACTGAAAGGAAAATAAACAATAAAGAACCAATTATATACATGCAGACTTTAAACTAAAGAAATCTTGATTGTAAGACAAAGAATTTTTCTAGCCAGTTGGTTTGCTCAAAAAAGCAGCTTCAATCACCAGTGTCTTGAAGCGGAGGGATGATCAGAGCCTATTCCCTGCTCTTTATTGGCCCTGCCCCAAGCAGCTGGTGCCTTCAGTCCTACCTTTGTCTGCATGTCCACCCACTCCAGAAAGATCAGTGGGTTTAAACAATGAGCTTGCCAGTTGTTGCTGCCTTATAAATGACTCCTTTTACCATCCAGCTGTCTGCCAGCCTGTTACTATGGCTCAGCCTCCAGCCTGGCTTCAATGGGCAAGGCACACAGTAGCAGTTACTTGCTTGGTCAGGCCAGTGGCTACAGTCTCATCAGCCTGCCCCTGTTCTCTGCTCTCCACCCTGCACTGTGCCCTGCTGAGCAGAGAGGGATTTCCAGAATCCATCTTGGCAGTTTAGGAAATGCCCGTGAACACAATGCTGGTTCAGTTGTAGAATTCCTACCTTGTAAGGGGAGACCTGGATTCCATTTCCAGCCAGTGCCCAGCCACTGCCCATCTGTCAGTGGAGGCTTTAGTGTTGCTATGATGCTGAGCAGGGTTCAGCAGAACTTCTGGACTAAGACCAGGAAGAAAGGCCTGGCAATCTATTTCTGAAAACTAGCCAGTGAAGCCTGTCTGGAACACAATGGGTCACCATGAGTTAGGGCTAACAGCAACAGCAAGGAAAATACCCCTTGGAGGCAGTTATCACTGGGGCAGATCTGAGTAGGTCTCATGGCTCAGGATAGATGGGATCAGTCTCCTTTCCAGCACTGGGAAGGCAGACAAATGACAGACAGACAGAAAAGCAAGGCCTGTACGCGCCCGCCGCCATCCTGAGGTCCCAGCGGAGGAATCTGCTTCCTTGGGACTCATAGCACAGACAGACATTGTTTGTCCGCCTGCGAAGAAGATACTGCTTTTACACGGTGGAATGACATTCTGACACAGAATCCCCCTGCTGTTTTACAGGCTTTGGGGGGAGACTGGATTCCAGGCATTTTTCTCTTAACCACACAGCAAGTGACTAATGCTCGCCTGTCGCTGTCCTCTCTGGGAGCCTCATCGTGGCAGCCAGAGCAGCCCTGAAGGGTGGAGCTGAGGACCACCGGGCTGGCGCGTTCCTTTCATCTGTCAGGCGCTTCCCTTTTTCACTGTTCTGCCTCTTTGTCTCCCTCCAGCATGCCAACTGCCCCCATGTAATCCCTGCCCCTGTCTTCTCGTTTCAGAACGGCGTGGTCCACCGGGACTTGAAGCTGGAAAACATACTGCTCGATGACAACTGCAACATTAAGGTAAAGCTCTTGCTTCACTGACTGATACGGAAGGCTTGGGTATAACAGACGCGCAGGGGGCCTTAACATGCTCCACGCTGCAGCTGGAACCAAGGCAGCCAGTTCCCTGGCAGACACACCAGGAGAGTTGCTGGGCGTGAACCCCTCGGTGCAATTCAGTCCGTTTCATTCAGTGATCTCCAGCTCTGTACCAGACGCTGTTCATCATGCTGGGAAGGAAAGAGATGTTCAAGACCCTGTCCCTGTTCTCAGCAAGTTCACAGTCTAAAGCCAGCACCATAAAAATACATGTAGCATCTAACTTATATCCCAAGCTCCTCTACTTTGCCTGGCAGCGTTTAAATGCTATCTGTACAACAATCATTGGAGAGAGGTACAGTTACTTTGCGGCTTACTTGGGATGCATCTTCAGGAAAAACCACTGGCTACAAACAGATACTGTGCTTGGTCAAGCATAGGGTCAGTGGAAACCTAGGGAAACTTTGAGTGTGATGGATTGTTCCAGAAACCACAGGATGGGCTCAGACATATCTCAGATGGTACAGACCAGAAAGTGCTTTTCTCTGTCATACATAATGTCACTATGAGTGGGAATTCGAATCCATGGTAACTAACAGCAACAACATCATATATGTGTCACTGCAAAGATAGGGAACGGAGGCACAGAGAAGTCGAATAACTTGCCTGAGGTCACACAGTGCTAAGTAGTGAAGTTGGGATTTGAACCCATGTCTGTGTGACTCATAAACCCAAATTTAAATCACTGTACTCGATTGACTAGTAGGAACCTAGATTATTTCAGAGTTGGGACTCACTCTGGCTAATTTTTATCCCCAACTCATGTCTTTTGCTTCTTTTTCACCCCAGAACCAGCCTTGGGCCTGGGAAGCTCACTGAAGGGAAGCTAGCATTTGCTGCTGGGAAACAGCAGACTGTACTTTTACTGAGAGTATTATAGCTGGCTGCTGCTGGCGCTGGGGAAAGCTATCCTGGCCCACAGGGTTCAAGTGCCTCCCACAGAGCACTCTGAATGTCCTTTTGATCACGTCTGCAAAATAAGCAAATATGGTTTCAAAATAAACGGAGCTCACCGCATGGCTTTCATTATGAAATGGCCTTAGTACTCCCAGCGCCAGAGAGAGCCCTCCAATTGGCCGCTGGTGACGTTAGTAGCTCATCCTTGGTCCCCAGGCTAAGCATGGGAACAACCTTGCATCCTCCACTTTGTTGTTATTGTTGCTGTCAACCGAGGAGTACATCATGTGGAGAATATTTCCTTGCTTGGAAAGATGGAGTGGCTTTGGTGTTGATTCTCTTTGCTGAGCGTTTGAGCAACTTCACAGTAGCCAGTGTCCTTCTTGGGAGCCGTGTCTCATGACCTCTGCTTCTTGCAGAGTGGTCAACCCAGGGTCTCTCTGTTTTTGACTGAGTGGCTGGATGATTCTGGAAGCAGCACTGGCTGTTGTTGTTAAGTGCTGTCGAATCAATTCCGACCCATAGTGACCCTGAACAGGGTTTCTGAGGCTGTATGTAAATCATTACAGGAGCAGAAAGCCTCATCTTTCTCCCTCAGAACAGCTGGTAGTTTTGAACTGCTGACCTTGCGGTTCACAGCCCGATTTGTAACCACTACGCTACCAGAGCTCCTTAGGGTTAGAAAAGTTCAGGGTATGTATAACTGGCTAGTTGTTTGATATTGGAAAAGCCATTTAGCCCCATGGCCTTCTCTATTAAGTGGGTGACAATGATATTCAAAGGCTTGATGATTGAATGAAGTACTATACATTTAGCTATCAAGCTGATTCGAACTCATAGTGACCCCATGTGTGTCAGAGTATAACTATGTTTCATAGTGTTTCCAATGGTTGGATTTTCTGGAATTAGATCACCAGATCTTTCTTCCAAAACACCTCTGGTGGTGTTAAACTTCGAACCTTTGGATTAGCGACTGAGCATGATGTTTGCACTGCTGGCTACTGTGCACATGGTTCCCAGTTCAGAGCAGCAGCTTTAGAGTTGGACTCCCTGGGTTTGAATTGTAGCATTGACCCTTCCTAACTGCGGGGGTGTAGGCAGATTACTCACCCTCTCGAAGCCTCAGTTTCCTATCTGTCAAGTAGAGATGCCAGTTCTTGTAGACCATGGCTATGTATCCATTCATAGTTCCTAACGGTTGCTATGTGCTCTGCCTTGTGCCCAGTCCTGGTGAGTCAATGACCATGGCGAGGATTTAGACCATATTAGAGATGAAGCCCTTAGCACTTAGCTGCTAATAAGGGAGGATCTGGCTTCAATGGCTACCCACTGGATGAGGGAATGGAACAGAATGTCAGCTGCTCAAGCTGCCTGGACCCTGGGGTTGGTGGACAGGCTGTCACTAGAGAATTGAGGCCTGGTCTGAAGGCCACATTCTAAGGGATTGTGTCATTGACCCTGTGACTTTTTCTCCAGATTCTTCCTGTCACCTGCCCCCAGAGCTCTAACGGCTCAGTGTAGCCTTTACAAGGCCTGGAATGCGAGCCTGCCGCCTGGGGCTTGGGTTCTGTGGTGCAGTGTGACCTCCTGGTCCCTTGGTGCAGTCGCAGAAGTGATAAGACACATAGCTTTCTACAGAGTCATAGAATTCCCAGTGCCGGAGAAGAATGGCTAGCATTCTGAAAGCAATTGTGCATGAAACAATTGGGGCAGGAGCCTCGGGAAGCAGGGGGCCAAGCCCTTCTGCCCAGAATCTATGATGTAGGAAATAGCTTATATATAGAACATTAGAAAAATTCAGATTTTGGTCATTTTATTTATGTTTAGCTTTTTCTGTATGAATTTCTACAGCTAGCATTTTCTTAGATAAAACACATCCCCTCCCACCCCTAAAAAAATATAGACACCAGAACTTTTCCCTTCTCAGTGCCCCCTCATGGGCATCCCAGAGTATGTCAGAGTAGAACTATCGGGTTTTCAATGACTGTTTTTTTTTTCTGAAGTAGATCACCAGACCTTTCTTCTGCAATATATGTGGCTGGGCTTGAACCTCTAACCTTTCAGTCAGCAGCCAAGCACCTTAGCCATTTGCACCACCAGCGGACTCTTCCCATTCTCAGAACCCTTAAAATCTTCCTTCTGTTGGCTTAGGAATGCGACTAGCATCTGAGAATGAGTCTTAGAGCTCAAATGAACCCCTGAGAATAATCTTCCAACCTCAGAAAATCTAAGCAGGGTGCTCAAGATCATGCAGTGAGTCCGTAACAGACTGGACCATTGTGTCTGTGGGTTCCCCGCGTGGGGCTATTTGGCACACAGTAGGCACTCAGGAGATGTTTGTTTTTCGAGGGAAGGAATGAAGAGCCAGGATTAGAACTCAGATTTTTGACTCTCAGGCAACTTTTGTTTTCATCATCTCACACCCACTTCCAAGGTTTTTCCAAACACGTTTCAGCTGGTGTCCATTTGTCTTCCGGCTGTATATGCTCAGCTCTTCCTGACTCAGCATTTTACTGGGACAGATTTAGAAAGGACACTTGCTGACAAAGGCAGACGGACACATGGCTACAAGCTGGCCTCGAGGTTCAAAAGAGCCGGTGTCGTAGGCGTATGGCCTAGGGGAGCGATCGACACCGAGGGCTCTTTCCAACCCCAGTTCCCTCTGGTCTCTCTCAATGTGGACCCCCTCACCCCCACCTCCCCTTTCAAGTGTGGATGGTGTTTGCCTGGGAAGCTTATAAAAACGTGGCTGGTTCAGTCTTGTCACATGGCACTGCAGTTTTGATGTCAGCCATGTAACTCCTTCCTCTTCGTTTTACTGCCTGATGTTGCAAAGAGCACATCTGGCCTTGGACGTTATTTATCCGGCCCCTGCTAGAGGGTGTGGCTTCTAAAAATATTCACACAGTTCTCGGCAGAAGGAATGAGAGCAATGTGCCTCTCTGGGCTGCATTCCGTACTCGGTGGAAGCATGTCTACTAAAATAGTCACTGGCATAGCATTAATTTGCAATTAATAAAAACGGGCCAGATTCACGTCCCACTCTCTGGGAGAATGGAATGCCAGCAATTCCCATAGAAGGTTCCTGTACATATGCCTCATCAGCAGAAGATGGCCAGGCACCAGGGTCAGCCGACTTCAAAGAGGGCTGGGAAATGGCTGGGTTTCCAGCTCTGGGAGAAGAGGGGTACCTGTTGCTCTCCCCCCACTGGACAACAGCAAACTCAGCTGTTGTGAATAAGAAACTTTCAATGGTCGGGGCCAAGAAGAGGTAGAAGAGATAGAAACATCTGGGGCTTAACAAGACCAAGTGAGGCAACTCAGCCTCACTGGCCTTTGAACTCTGCCTTCATGTTTCACCTCATTCAGCCATTTGTTTGTGGCGCTGTAGAATAAGCACTGACTGATTAGCCACAAGGTCGGCATTTCAAACCCACCAGTTGCTCCTTGGAAATCCTATATATGAGTTGGAACCTACTCAAAGGCACACAAGAATACTCACACACACACACACACACACACACACACACACAGATATGTCCATATAACCAAACGTTTACAGATGTAATTACCAACAACATATATATGTTGTTATATAATCATAAGTTCTGTGCCATTGAGTTGATTCTGATTCACATGTAAGAGAATAGAAGTGTCCCATAGAGTGTCCTTGGCTGTGATTTTTTGGGAAGCAAATGACCAAGTCTTTCTCCTACAGAACTGCTGGGTGAGTCGAACCTGAAACCTTTCAGTTAGCAGCTGAGTGCTTCACTATTGTGTCACTTGTTGATAAGTGCCATCAAGTTGCTTCCGAATCATAGTGACCCTGTTTATATAGTCATATGTATGAGCAAGGGAGTGTGGTGGCTCCATATGACAAGCCCTGGAGTGTCAAGCACAAGGCCCATGGTTCAAGCCCGTCTGCCACTCCATGGGAGAAAGATGAGGCTTTCTGCTCCTGCAAAGATTTTAAAAAGCCTCGGAAATCCTATATGACAATTAACAACAACACATGAATAAATTGA